AAATTACATAATATAAGAGAATGGAAGACACAAAATTATGAATTACAATATAAAAAATTATGCAACAAAGAAGCTACAAAAATCAACTCCACCAAAGCCCTCTGAAATGTTATAAAGTGGTAGAAATACTAACCTTACAGTAAAAATGATGTTAAACTATAGGTTGATATCTTATAAACTATGGCGATAAATTGATGTCCAATGTGAATTGAAGATTCAATTTAATTTGACACACTTTTTCCCTATATGACACATAGATGGGGCCAATAGATTGAATTTTAAATCTATATGATGGAATGACCAGGAAATATACGAGATCCACAAGATTATGTCAACATAATAAAATTATATGAGATGAAGCTCATTAAATTCAAATGATGAACAAAATATAATCAATTACTACCTCCAGACCATCTAATCCATCATATGATTTTGATGGAAATTACTTTTCGGTTTATGAGCATTCTTAGAAGTTTGAATCTATATAGAATGATCGAATGAGATATTGAGAAACATGTCTTACCAGAGACGGAAGCCGACGAAGGAAGGATTGATGATGGTCAACCACGTCTGATGTTGACAGAGTGATAGAAATCACGATTGTGATATCGTCCACTCTCGAAATTTTTGACGGTTAGGGCAGCAGAAGAGTTAATGATGGACAATATCAATGATGGAAGGGTGGGTTGATGATGCAAGACGGTTGATTGTGTAAGGGTGAGTGTCTAGATGATCTTGTTCCTTCTGATTTAGAGATAATGAGAGTCCAGTCTTAACTCTTAAGTGTCGGCGCCTTGCTACTATCAATAGCAAACCCTAGTTGGCAGAACTTTTAATCTCTAGTGGAGTATTCAGGCCAGTTGTGGTTGAGAAATCTGTAACTTATTAAGTGGTAGAGCATTGAAGATTAAATCTACTAGCCATTAGCCAATACCATTACGGTACCAATCTATCTTCTTTCAACGACATCATTGACGGAAGTGTTGACACCAATTGTAAAAGCTGAAGTGTATAAGCGATATTGAAATCCAGACAGGAATATCATCCAGTCACATAAGTGTTTACAATACGGGGTGGGGCCGTGGGGGGGAAGGGTTGGCGACGAACGATGGCTGCAGGATGGGCGGGGTGATGGTGGACAATTTTCGGTGGTAGAAGGGTGAGTGGTCTGTTTCCATCTTCTAGTTTTGATAGAAAGAGAGGTGAGTCTTGAGTGTCTACCGTCTTTTAGAAATCAACAAAAAACCCTAGTTGGATTGAACTTCTAATCCTGGGAACCAAGAGTGGGAATATGAAAATCGAACCTTTAATCGGGGGAAATAACAGCAAGAATGTAAAATTTAGAAATTTAATTCATAAACAATATAATGGCACAAAAACAACAATAAGTGCCACTAAAATTATAATATAGTGGCACAAAAAGTATATGCCACTAAAAGATTGTGCCACTAAATATAATTTTATTTGTAGTGAAATTATATATCATCAACATAAACAAGAAGATAGATAATGCATGATTCCTGTTTAAAAACAAAAGGCGAAGTGTCTAACCCAGCACACGTGAAAACTTTTGCAACAAGAAATGAACTAAGACGATGAAACCATGCTCGTAGAGCTTGTTTTAGGCAATACAATGCTTTCTTTAACCTGCAAACGTGATTAGGAAAACGAGGGTCGACAAAACCAAGTACTTGCTCCATAAATACAATTTCATTCAAATAATCATTGAGAAAAGCACTTTTAACATTGAGTTGATGAAGACGCCATTTATTGATAACTTCAAGAGACAAGCAATACGTACCATGGACGGCTTAACAACGGGACTAAATGTAGGAGAATAATCATGACTGGGAAATTAAGTAAATCCTTGAGCCACAAGTCATGCTCTAAGACGTTCAATCGATCCATATGAATAATACTTGGTGCGAAACACCTATTAGGAACCAACGACATTTCCAGTAGTAGGGAACGGTAGTAAGACCTTATTGTCATTTTGTTTAAGAGTTGTCATTTCTTCATGCATTGCTAACATCCGCTTTGGGTTTTTGGCAGCGGATTTGAATCCTTTCAGTTTATTTTGAACAAATATTGCCAAGTAAAAGGCATGAGAAGATGTATGAGCTAAATCCAATTGGTGTCGAGGTTTGAAAATCCCAACTTTTTCTTGTGTAGTCATGTGATGAGTTGAAACAGGTTGTTGGTTTGTATTCAACGATTGTTATGTTTGTGGTATTGGATCAGATACGTTAGACATATTAGTAGACTCATCATCATGAAGTGGGCTAGGAGGAGACTGTGATCTGTCATTGGGATGCGGTTGGGCTATTTGGTCTGAAAAAGAAGGTTGCTTCATAATGGAACAAGAGGAACAAGGCCGCTAGGAGGCATAGCCGGTTCTATTGATACTTTTGCAACAGTATGCGAGGATGCCACAATAGAGCTATTATCAAAAAAGTTATTAAATCCAACAAGGTTTGATCCTTAGTAGTGTGGTTGCCCGAAAAAAGTAAACAATCTTCATCAAAACAAGCATGATGTGTCACACAAATACGAGAAATGACCAGGTCAAACAACGAAAGCTCTTGTATTAAGAAGAATAGCCAATAAAGATACATGTGATGCTTTGAGGATCAAGCTTTTAGGAGAGTAATCTCGAAGCCAAGGATAAACTAAACACCTATAGGTTCGAAAATTGTTGTACGTGGGTGACCAAAGAAAAAGGAGCTCAAATGGAGACTTATCATTTAATACGCGTGTAGGTTGACGATTTATGATATATATATATATATGTGTGTGTGTGTGTGTGTGTGTGTGTGTTGGATTAGGTGTCTGAGCCAATAACTAAATTAGTATAATCTTGAATTATTAGCAAAATCCTTTTCGGTTGCCCTCAAAATGTTTCCAACTAAATATTATGTAGTCAAAGAAAAAGCATTCATCAGAGATGTTTAAATATGAGACTTAGATGAGTGTCATTACCATTAATTAAAAATTACGTTTTTGTTAAGTTATCATGTCATGTTGCATTTTACTTAGCATATAACTTTTATGAATAATATTGCACGTAGGACAATGTTAGGTTATGATGGATCTAAAAAGGCCATAAAGACGCATAACGGAAGCAACTTAAACATTAACCTTACAAACCAGACAATGATCTATGTTCTACCAATCAATTGCAACTTAAACTATAACAAAAAAGAAACTAGGATATATATCTTTGTAGACGTTGAAACCTTCACAAATCTTGATCGAATAATGAGTGTTAAGAGCCCAACAAAGAACTCCTTTTTTATAGTCGTAACCAAGGAAATATACCAACAACATCTCACTTCACCCATGGACGAACACATTGAAAACCATAAACCATAAGCTGAAATCAACTCCTACGCACCACGTAGAGGGCCTACACGTTGCATAAGCAGCTAAATGTTAGGGTTCAAGATTAGACTTGTACTATCGAATACTAGGGTTTTTTCTAGAGAGAATTTCATCATGATATTCGATCTAGGACCCCTCTATTTATAGGGAATGTTTAAAACCCTTAAAAGATAATATTTGGTCACAAGATAATTAGTCTTATGTTCGGTAATTATCTTACTTTCCAATTATTTTATCTAGAACCTTCTAGATAACTAGATTTTTTTTTAATTAATTAAAGACTTAATTAATTAACAAATCAGAACCCTATAATTTTATGTGTCATCAATTGCTTATTTTTTTTTTCTTGTGTGTAACCCAAAATGCACACTACTATTAATAATAATATTTCCCCTAAAAATAAGCCAACATGCAACATGATCAAATATAAGAAAAAAATACAACAATTTAAAACACATCACGAGTTCACGTTACAAGATGTACAAATAACTTCAAATCGGTAATAAAAACTGAAATATGTACAAAAAAAATATTACCAATTATAGTCCTTTATTCGCTTCCAATAATCTTCGCTTCAATGTCATCAACTAGTTCCTTTCTACTTGATTGTAGACAAACATTGGAGGCCTAGAATTCAAGCAAAATCATGCATAAATCAGTTCTAGGAAATTCAAGCAGAAACTAGTTCATTTCAAAAAAAAAAAAAAAAAAAAACAATTATAGCAAAATTAGATTTGGCGTGTGAAGGAAGGGGGGGATTTGTTATAGCTCTCAAGCACAATCAAGCACATCATATTTTTTAGGTTGTTTGTTATAGTTATCAAAGAAAATCAGTACACGCATAAAGAAAATCAATGATTTGTTACCACATTAGGGTCGTCGGAGGAAGGCGGAGGTGGATAGCATTGGAGGAGGGCGAAGGTGGAGTCTCGTTTTGGCATATGAAGAAGGAAGACGGAACACATATTAGGGGAAAGTGGAGATGATGTCAAACTTTTCATGCAACGAAATCCTCATATCTGACCGAAACAAATGTTGAATTGTTCAAAGGCATGAAATGGAGTACCAAAACGTTTTGAATCTAATCGATTCAAAGTTTGCCTCTTGATGAAGCCATTAAGATGCTTACCAAACAACCTATTAGTCATGTTGGGGTTATTTTAGTTGTTGGTGCTAATCATTTGGGTGTTATTTACATTCTTGCGAGTTGTATCATAATCATCGGTCACACAATACAGCAGCCTGGATTGTGTGGTCGTTGGATTGCAGGAATTCAAACTTCGATAAGTTCAACAATTTTTTATTAATATTTAATTATAATTATTTGAAAACTACTTTTAGTTATTTCTAACACCAATAATAAAGAAAATATCAATACATATATTTATATTCACACATTTTAATTTCAAACATAACAATTTTAAAAATAAAACAAGCTTTCATCACTTATTTAGTTGATTACATAAAACAAAATAATCAAAAATAAAATGCGATATGTTACAAGAGTAACCTTTGTAATTTGTATTTTCACAACGTGGCCCCGCAACCCATGTATAGTTCTATTCGTATCTCCATCTTTTCAATCTCTTTCTTCGCAAATCTGACTCGACAATTTTGTTTTATTCACCTTTTGCCGCTACAAAAATAAAAATAAAATAACGCAATAAGTAATTATTAATAAAGCCTCACTTCCATTTCAAACTTTCACATAAAAGTTATGTCATTAATCATTATTTTTAACAACTATCATAACTTTCGTATATGCTCATGATGTTTTTAGTGCGATCTATATTTTTAGTGAGTTAATCGTGATTGATATTTATGATGACAATTCTTCCAAAATAATTTTTTTTACGGTGACATACTATTTAATATGCTATTGCTTTGTAAAAATATCTTTTTAACAATAAGTTGCAATGACTTACTAGGTCTAAGAAGAGAGAAGGGGTTGAGAGTAACTTGATCAAATTCAGATCGTTTGATATCACTTAGAAGCCTATGATTCGGTCCTATAGCCTCTATATGACTCCTCTTACTGGTTTGATAAAAAGTTAAGTATGACTGGTCTTGATTTAATCAGATCTTCTCAATCAAAAACTATCAACTAGCCCTAAATGACTTAATTATTACGTGCGGAAGTCTAATATAATTATTAATTCAACATAATACAACAATAAATGTACGAATTGTTCGTCGAAAAACTCATAGTCCCTGTGATCGTTTGAACCTTAGCCAAACAGGTTCTTTCTCACCGGGATTCAAAGGGGGTCCACTTGGAGATCCAGGGGTCTCCAACTCCCCTGGGTTTGCAGGGTGGCGACGACTAATGTTCGGCATCGGTGGAGCAGTCGGTATCACTCTCTCCTCAGCCTGATCAAGCTGAGGAGCTGTGGTTGGAGCGACCGGAGGAGAAGGTGGTGGCGGAGGATTTCTGTCACCAAAATTTTCATAATTTCGCGGCCCCTACACAAATTAAAAAAAAAAAAAAAAATCATTAGGGTATTGCACCATTATAAAAAGAGGGAAATTGATCGTTCACATTACTTGGCCCAATATGTAATTTTGTTCATTTCAATTGCCAAATTTTTTATGTAGCCTTGAACCCATAATCACGCAATGAGCTATAAGAATGTCTATACAAATCTTCCCTATCCACATTTTTTTGCGTTGTTTTAAATATAAATCTTGTTGTAATCATTTGATCAATCAATTAAAAGTCGCCACTATTAGTCTTCTAAAATTTTGTTGTCTTGTTATCAAATTATTATCGACTTAACTCAGTGTCACTTGTCTTTCAACACATGAATTTTGAGCGTTTGATATGGACTTATCTACAATGTACGAAGTAATTTGTAATACTGGTTGGTTGATTTTCAACCAACTGCTTAGTTGGATGATATTAGATTATTTATATCCAATATCATCCAACTAGATGAGGAAGTGATGATTTGCAGAGCCTAGGATTGGACGATTTACATCCAATCAGCGATGACAGCCAAAAATGCAGAGGTTGGATGAACAGATCTTCATCCAACCAGGGTCTTGAACCAATTCAAGATCTATTGTAAAAACTATTTATTATATTCCAAATGTAATAACGAAGTTCAATATACACAAAGAAACTTTATAAAAAAACAAGTATCACCCTATCGACTCGACGACTTCTTTAGTTTTTGTTTAGTAGTTTTCTTTGAAAAAAACAAGGAAAAAAACGGTACCTCGGATCTTGGTCTTGTAGGTTGCGAAGCTATATACTGTAAAATTTCTAAAAATTTAGCGTGTCCCAACTCCGAGGAATTGTTCCAATAGTGAATCGCCACATCATACGCTCTCGCTCTCATTTCATTTAAGTGTCTTTCTATATCGGTCTCATGTCGCGATAAAAATGGCCTCAACAAGGTTTCGTATACATACCCTGTTCCCTAAAACACCCGTAAACTTTCCTTTTTTAGAAATTAAATACAGTAAAATGTTATAGAACAAAATACAGTCATTTTTTTTACCTTTGTTTTAGGATACCATAAGTAGATAATAAGCCCTAGCTTCATTTCATAATACATTGGTACCCTATCAAACATTTTTCACGCAATGATTTATATACATATAAAGAATAATCAAATAATAACAATTAAGTATACAAAAATTTATTGATACATACCATGAAACGAATATATCCGCGAATCTTTCGAAAACTGTAAGTATTGCGATTAGTACCCTGAAAAGAAATCATAAATTCATAAGCAACAAATTAAAGATTGAGACATGAACAAATAACTAATTAAAATAAAAATGGGAATATTTCAATTCTTGAATTTGTGGAAGATGAAAGAGAATAATGTTTTACCAATATTTACACCAAAATCTTAATTCTGCGTTATCTGAACCACGTCGTTCAATGGTTTTAAAGCACTCAAAAGCTGGATATGCGTATCCAAGAATTAACCTGAACCCATGAACAAACATCAGAAAAGTTGACCTAAAACCCAATTTCGAGAACTTAAATCTTGTGAGTATTCGTGAGAAATTTGAGATTTGATTAATGGGAGTTGCTTACACAAGAGTGGTTGTGAGGAGTCCACCCAGCATCTTCTCACAATTTCTGCTAAATTGGCTGCAAAATAGAAAGAAAGAAAGAAATAGGTTTTGGGATGTTCATCAAATTTAACAACATTTTTGTAGAACTATAACCTAAATTCGATTCATACCCAACCATGGTAGACGATTCTATAAAGTAATTCGGCTAATGAATTGAAATTATTTGAACAGTGAGAGGAGAATAGGAGATTGGATGATTATTACTCTTTTTTGCTTTAATCTTTTCAGAAAGTATCCATAACCCGATTAATTCGAATCGAATCTGATTACAAAATGAAGATAATCAACTCCAATTAACTTCCATTCCCGTAGTGAGTGTACTCAGATTAGAAAAACGCAATCAGAAACAGAAACAGAAACAGAAGGCCAAGCACATTTTGTTGTAGATAAGATGAAACGATTTTTAATGGGGATCTCTTGATGAGCAGGAAGAACATTACCTTTGTAAGCAGGAAACGATTCGTTGATGCTACTGGGAATTTGAGCAGATCAATAAAATTAGCGAAATCGATCAGAGAAACTTGAAATGAAAGGATATTTACTGAAGAAGAAGATGATGACGATGATGAAGATGGTTGTTTTATGTATGAAACTTGAAATGAAGGGGCCCAAAAAACGCACAGGAGACGACAAGGGGAGGAGGGGATGTATGCTTGGGAGATGGTGATTATTGATTGCTGATTACATTACATTGCTTATTTCTCAACTTCAAAACTTATTTATTTATAATTTTCATTATTACGTATCGAAGTTTATAACTTTGAAAAAGTTTAAAGATATATTATAATTGGGGCTCAAATTATTTTTAATTAATCTAGGAAACATAATTTTAAACGTTTTAAATGGTTAAATATGGAGATCATAAATTTACAACCAGACAATAAATATAAACAGTGAGTTATCAATAACTGAACATTATTAATAATTGTATCTCTATTAGAATCTTACAAATGATAGATTTTAGGATAATCACAAAGGATATCGAAGATGATATTGACGAGTATATATTTGACCCATTTTTCTTTTGTTGACATGATCCCTATTTGGAATAAGAACATGTTTTATGTTTCGCTATAAAAAATTTTGTCCACGTCTATCTCAAGATGATTAGTATTTTCGGATTTTCAACGATTTTATACTATTTTAATTTTTACCATAATGTGCTATGAATTTAGTAATTTTGTTTAAAGTTATGGTAATGTTACTTCTCCATGTCGGCCATTTTTTTTTGGTTTCGAACTAAATAACTTTTATTTTTGAAAAATTAAATTGTTTCTTATATTTTATGCTTACAAATATTTCTGCCGATTAAAATTATAACATATATCATCATTTCAAATTTTTTATACCTATCTCGTTAAGAGTATATTAAGGATATATCATATAAAATTAAATTAAATGGTGGAATGATATCATTTATTATAATTTTAATAGGCAAGAATAATAATAACATAAAAGATAGAAAGTAATTTAATTTTTTTTTTTAATTTTTACAAATAATATCATTTTTATTTCTCTACATTTGTTATTTTGTATTAGGTTTAAAGTGTCCATATACACAAGTATCCCTATGAAGTATGCCATTTCAACCTACAAAAATGCATTTTATATAAAAAAAAATCCATGGATTATATATTAGGGTTTAGGGGTAGGATTTATGATTTAGAATGTATTGTATACCGTTAGATTTTAAGGTTTAGGATTGATGCTTTCGTTATGAAGTATGAAAAATAACACATTAGTCCATCAATGTATTTCGAATTTGTCCATTAAGTGCCTTAACTTATTTTCGTGTTTTTGGGGGAAAAATATTATTTTTGTCAGGTTTAATTGTTCACTTTGGACAAAATGAAGGGGTTACCCGGTTACCCATTTTCCACAAAAACATTTGTTGACCCATTTTCCCTTAACGTACATTGACTTTGAATGTACTACCCCATGAAACACCTGTTAAACCCAATACTATTCATCTTCTTTCCCACCCTAAACCAGCCTTATAACTCCATAATCAACCCACCACTACAACTGGTTCATCACCTTCGAATACCACAGGGAAACCTCCACGAAAACCTCACTTGTTTCTATCGAAACCCACTTGAAAACTCAAGAAACACCGCCTACAATCACGTCGACCACCATCGATCCAATATGAAAATGTAGGATTTAGAATCTAAAAATCAAAACTCAAAATCAACACACACAAGTGGAAACAATTTCATCCTTAGATTTTCGATTTTTTTTATTACAATCACAGTGATGGAGAAATAGCGTTGGCGAAGATGATGGTAATTAAGAAATGGGTACGGTGGGAGATGGCGGCGGTGGCGGAGACAATGGTGATGGTTGGAGTTGATGGCCACGTTGCTTCTCTAAGAAGGATATTGTGACGTCCCCAAATTCACGGTCATTTTAAAAATTTTATTTATGCTTATTTGAAAATATGAGTATTCATTTTTAAGAATAATATTGTGAAATTTGTTCCCAGAAAAACATGATAAGAATATTATCAAAGTATTTCCGAAGAAATGTATTTTGTTTATATTAAAACTTTGGGATATCATCATCAATACAGAAACATAAGCATAATCAGACCTTACATTCGTTTACACTATTGATTTACATCTCCTTTAATCTCTCAGTGAAATGTAGCTTCGTATCGACACCTGTGATACAATAAACTGAGTGGTTCAGGTTGGGAAACCTGGTGAGTACATAGGATTTTCAACCCATAATAATAAAGTTATTGTGTTTCATCATCAATCAATTAACCCAATTACCCATCCCCATTATCTTCTTTATTTCTTAAGTATCTTCCTTAAGAATCACTATCATTCACTCCTAAGGATTATTCTAAGGAATAGGCACGAAGTCCATAGTTGCCGAGGTTTGTATAACAGGCGCTAAGTTAATAGCTGCCGATGTTATTTATTAGACACGAAGTTCATAGTTGTCAGGGTTGATCTCTTTTATTGACAGTGTTATTTTAAGGAGTCCACCCGCAATACATGTCAATGAGTTTTTAAAGTACATCTGATGAATATATCGTTCACAACACCTACAGGTTGTGAGTCTGCTTGTGTTCCACTGGACTGCCTAGAATAGTCTGTGGTTGTCATCTATACTCTCCTAGATGACTGGGCCATCGCTTGGGTCAAGGCTTCTCATCATTAAGGTCAAGGCTTCTCATCATCTATATCATATTTCATCTAACTATCTTTACCCATCATAATTATATATATATATATATATATATATAATACATATACAGTTAAAATAAAATAAAACATGTATATTTTGTTCATCTAGCATAGATATCAAGAACACATATAATATGCACACATAGATATCAAGAACACAGATAATATGCACACATAGCATATTATCTTGGTAAATATTATAAATTTTTAAATACTTCATATCTATGTGTAAGATGAAAATAACTATACGCTCACTTGTTAAAGTGATGATTCCAAACTCGGGCAGCGCTTCGCTTCTAACAATTCTATTTTCCTACGGTGAAACTAAGTATTATTACTGCTAGATTTTAGTCTAATATTTATAGCGACTATTTACGAGAGACATTGTTTTATAAGTCTTAAACAATACTTTTCAACTACTGTGTACAGATAGGGGCCATACATGAAACATCGGAGGCCATGACCATTTTGGCATTATAGCACTTTTGAAATCCAACAACCATATGCGGCCATTCAAACCAGATTCCCTATATCGCGAGCAGTTAAAAGATATTATAATAACACTTTTTATATTATATTTTATAATATATATATATATATATATATATATATATTGTTTATAAGTTCATAATAACGATATTGAACTTAAACATAAGTTATACTTAAAGTAGGGTAAGCATAACTCACTTAACGAGAGGTTTAGCTAGGAACCAAGCTCTGCGGGGGCAAAACTTCTGAGCTGAAAGCTCTTCTTCTCTGAGCCTTCTGGCGTTCCGGGACTTGCCTCTAACACTTAGGAAGTGCTAGGGAAAGGAAGAGGGGGTTTAGGGGTGTTTGGGAGAGAAGGGTTGAGAGAGGTGTAAGAAATGAAGTGATTTGCGCCTTTATTTATAGGTTGAAATTTGGCCCAACTCAGTGATTTCTGAGCCTCCAAATCGTCAAGTTGAGTGCCAAGTGTCTTCATCTGGTGGCAAGGCATGGGGAGAAAGCAATAGTCAGGATTGTGTCACATATCACTCGTAGATTACTCCAAAAACTAATTATTTTCTAAAGCTCGTAACTTTCGCATACGAGCTCCATGTTTGATGTTCTTCATATCCACGCATAGGCGGTAACGTGATCTACAATTTTTGTTTAGACTCCGCCATCTAATTTAGAATTTAAATTTTAACAGACTTAGACAGTTAAAGTCCGTTAAAAATTCATAACTTTGTCATCCGACATCCGTTTTCGAATGTTTTTATATCGTTGAGCTCCTATTAATGAGATCTTCTATTATCATTTAGGTTGTTTTGACTTAAAATTGACCGATCTAAAATTCGATTTCGGGGCTTTGCACTACCATGCTAAATCTTAGAAAAATCATAACTTTATCATACGAAGTCATATTTGGACGTTCTTTCTATGTATGTTCTTGGTTTAACATATAATATGACTTTAGTGTAGATCCCTAAGGCTAAAATGTAATTTATCAAAAATTCACTTCTTACATTACACGGTGCCATGCTAGTTTAGCTGTAAAACTTCGACGAGTCATAACTTCTTTGTTATAACTCGGATTTCAGCGTTCTTGATATGTACGGAATCCTTGTGACATACACTATAACTTGGTAAAGATTATATATTCTAAATAATATTCTATCAAGAAAATTTATTTTTGACGGTTATTGTCTCTAGATTGACTAGCTCGAATCTGCGGGCGTTACAGTTGTCTAAATTTGCTTGCATCAAGAGCTAAAGGCGGTGGAGGGGAGACAGAGTGGGGGTGTCCGAAAATGATGTGGTGAAGTCAACGAGGAAGGAGGCTCCAGTGGTGGGTTGGCACTAGTGGTTCTTGAGAGAGAAAGAGAAGAAGATAATAGGGTACGATTGTTGTGTTTTAGAAACTAATTGTTCCAGAAAAAGACTCTTAAGTTATCCCACAGTTCCAAGGGGTCAGACACATACCGGTCATGTCATGATGACTGGACATCCACATCTTCTCCAATGATTGTGTGGTATAGTGTGTAGGTTATTGTAGGTTAGAGGGACGAAACAAGCAGGTCAACATCCACCTTACGCCCCAAAAAAGCACCAAAAAAAGTTAAGTGATTGATTCGGAAAATTCCAAAACATTGTTGGGTTAATGTGTCGTTTTCCCATGAAAGTTTTATATTTTATTTAGTTAAGAAAAAATATTTTTCGTTTTCAGTTTTCAGAAAATGAAATGAGTTTTCATTTCCACAGTATAAATTTTAGAAAATGCATTTAGTTAAAACTAATTGAGTTTTCAGTTTTTTAATTTAGAAAATTAGTAAATGCATTTGGATATATATTTTTAATCGTTTTTCATTTTTTATTTTTTGTTATTTCAAATAATACAATACTTATCGTATTTGAACATGTTGGGGTCGAAATTGGTTGTGAGGTCTCGAAACCTTTCTAGTCTTGTAATGGTGTCGAAGTCTGTCTTGTATGTTTTGCATAGGGGTATGTTAGTGTCGAAGCTTTAACATTTAGTCCCTTACGTATTTTTTGTATGCTTCAGTCATCCCTACTAGAGTTAGGGTAACTTTTTGAGCATTTTCACTAATGTACTCTAAACCTTTTTCTGTATCTTTCTGAAGCGTAATTGAGCCATCCAGATCATATTTACTTTTGGTGTTCATATCTTAATCTATACTCTAATTTCATTTCATACACTCGATCTATAACAACTACATTTGGTATCAGAGCAGGATTCATACAGTTGTTATCTGATTTTCTCTAGATTTCAAAAGTTTTAGAATCTCGTTCTAGATTCAAAAAAAAATCGCACTTTTGATTATGAAAAAAATCGCAACAAAGATTCCTATGTTGATCCCTGAGTATTATGATCAATGGACTGATATGATGGAGGACTATATGATTGGGATCGATGAAGATTTATTGCAATGTAGCGTGAGTGGAGATTTTCGTCCTTTAATGCCCACTGAAGTTGGAAATGCTATGTCATCTGCTCCTGAGAAGGTTGAAACGGTTCATAATCAAATGAAGGAAACCTAGGTGTAGGGACTGAAAGGTTTTAAGAGACCTTAGCGACGGTTGTTGGGGTTTGTCTTGTTCGAGATTCCTAATCAAGAGCTGTTTTTGAAGGTCCAAACAAGGTTTCAAAGTCAACTTCATAAATCTTCTGTATGTTCGGACATTCTGGAGCTGGAGCATCGGACTCCATAATGTGGGTTGTAACATGGGTTGGGCTAGAATTTCGAATGAAATTGTTATCAAAGGTAACATCAAAGCTTTCTTCTAGAACACAAGTTTGTTGATTAAGAACTCGATAAGCCTTTGATTTACCAGATTAACAAAGAAAGATAGCTTCATCAGTTTTGGGTTGGAATTTTTGTAACATCCGGATTCCCAGGAATCTTATTTTAATTATCCATTTTGAGTTTAATGAAGGAACTCAGCGAGTAGACGCTCAGACTCGCCGAGTAGGATCACGAACTCTTATCTTGATTAATAACCGGACTCGACGAGTCGATGCGTGGACTCAACGAGTCCTCGCTGTAAAGTGAAACCCTAAATCTCAGGGCCTGAGCCCTATTTAAAGGCCTTTATGGCCTTCATTTGCGGCCACTACAACCCTGAAAAATCCTAGAGAGCAGAGAGATCGTTTGTGGTGCAAGAGGAAGGCCAATCCACCCATTCGTGTGTGTTATAGCAAGAAGAAAAGGACAAGCTAGGCGAGTTGGGGAGCTT